CAAGATTATTTCACTTACATGTGTGCTAGTACGTGTGCGCGCGCGTCCTTGCGTGCATGCGTGCGTGCGTGGCTTGTCCTGACTGATGCCGGTTTTATAGTGCTAGCCCACTGTATCAGTTTATCATGAATACCCCACTCAGACACAGAATACTGACTCCGAGCCGACCAGTCCTTGTTTTAGCCCCTTAATGCCGTGCGCCAGTAACAACAAGTACCATCTTTTAACGTCATTTGATATAACGCGGCCGTGGATTGAACCCCGGACCTTCCTCTCTCCGGACGGATGCTCTACCACTAGACCACGGAGGCGGTCGCTGCCCACGTGAGCTTAATTCAACCTCATTTAGCCTGCGGGACTGGTTAAAAACCAATATTAGCTTCATTTAATATACCTGAAGCTCACTCACTGAAACAGCATGTGATCCCATGTGGCCCTGTACCTGACCGTTGCATTGAAACAAACCTTGAACTTTTATGACGTTCTATATCTTTTTAAGTTTCTGGACTGGTGAAGTTGAAATTTGGCATGCGTGTTACTCCTGATGTAGACATCTTGGTATGTTCAAATCATTTGTTTGTTTACAATATTTCCTCGTGAACCAAAAGAACCACAAGACTTAGAAAGCTGAAACTTCTTATGAATGATCATGACACCAGGTTGATTATACGTAAGTCAATGCAACTTTTCAAGGCATCATAATCGGCAGTCAACTTCGGTGCCAGAGACAATGCTACAAAACTCTCTTTTCCTGAAACTCAGCATTGATGCTTGCCATCATTATAGGATTGAAGCCTCATAAAATCCACAAAATTTCATTTTGTTTGAAAATGTGTCTTTAGAAAAAATATTAAGAATTCGAATTGTTAAGCAAACTGTCTTCAGAAATCAATGAGCCAAGTGTGTACAATGATGTGAGTGTCAAGGACAATCAATTATGTCTTGTTAGAAATCACGACGCCAAAGATCAACTTTAAAAAGTATGTGATAAACATTTAGCATAAGGTATGAGGGTTGACTGATAATTTCTAAGCCTCACAAAGAAGGAACTTACTTGATCACTGCACGTTCCTCAAGTTGGCCCCATTTCCAAAGGTCTGCCAATTTACTGATTTAAAAAATTTGCTCAACTGACTCAAGATTTTGTGGACGTACCTCTATGACATCAATGATACTCATCTGTCCACAATTACAGATTTCACTATCACGCTATTCGTTCTATGTGAGGTTCTTCCTTTTAACCAAGGCATCAGTCACATCGACTATGAAACTGTACCTTTGTCCACCCCCATCGTATCACCAATCACTTGAAGGAAACTACCACTTGCGTAAAAACGGAAAGCTCGTATCATCAGTTGTTGATCGACGTTTAGAGCATGGCTACATTGTGTAGGGCGCTCCAAATCTTCACTCAGTATATTGGCGATGTAGTTGATAGATTCCCGCCCAAATCTGTACCTATCACGAAGTTCACTGTCTGTGTAGTTCATTAATGCAAAATTTACAGCTCGGAATCACTTCTGTTGTCTCGCATTAACCACTGGAACCATGTAAGCGGCGCTAGGCCTAACCATGAACGCCATTTTGTTTCAAAGATAACCAAGGTGTTAAGTATTAACGGAGGTCGGGAGGTGTGTTAACTTTAACGGGTGTTTAACCAGTCGTTAAAGATAACCATGCTTTGGGAAACAACATAACCATTTGGTTAAATTTAACGGAGAGTTAACACTGACTTAACGGCTGGTTAACAGTTAACCGGGTTTTGAACAACCGGGCCCAGAACGTTTCAATCAACCCGCGTATACTTGTCCAAAGAGACGACTTAAATAATCGGGTGGTGAAACTCGTTGAGTTGGTTGATGACGTGTCACCGTACACAGGAGAGCGTGGATCGTTGATCACAATATCAATCATTGGACTAGCCTAGACTAAGCAATGCATAGATCGCCGTCATATATAGCTGGAATATTGCGGAGTGCAGTGTTTAACACACGCGCGCACACACATACACAAGCACGCACGCACGCACGCACGCACGCACGCAAGCACGCACACACACACACACACACACACACACACATTCATATACATTGATTAAATGTTTGTAATCGGGGTCTGTGTTCATTTCTTGTTTCTTTATCATGTTATCATGTGTGTAAAGTGTCGGAATCAAAGCAGTAACCTTGGATATAAGTCAAGAATTGTTATTTTGTATTTTATTGTTGCTAATATATTCGTTGGGATCACCTATGAGTATTTAGCAATAATTATTTTAGAAATCAAAGAACGGATTCTTAATGGGAACAAGTTTTCTCAAGAACTATTTAAGTTGAGAAATGAAATTTTACACACTGAATTTTACGTTACTGGTCACGATCTGAAATGGATTTTTAAAATTGGAGTCGTAAATTCATTATTTACGGAGTTGTGGCCGCTGGTCCGAGATTTTCAACTTGGACCATACTGCCTGAAATGGGACATGTTTTCTCAGAAACTACTGCACGAGGTTTGCATGCCTCTCAGAGATACCTGCCAAGACTGAGCTGAAGAATGTGTGCCATAATTTTTTTTTCTCAGGGCTACGGCACTTGTGCAATTGTTATTTCAAAAATGTTCTAAAATGTCCCACCGACCATGACTGAGACGAAAGACGTGGTATCATCGTCAAATCGGCTGTTTCAACCAGAGGTTTTTAATGTGATATGATATCCCTGATTGACCAATCGGAATCGAGTATATCCCACATTCGTTGTTAATTAATATAATATAATAATCATATCTAGTTGCATATGTAGCCGTCAGACCGCCTCCTCGAATACTTGGTGTGCCAGGCTGTTATTTTATACTGAAACCTGAAGGAAATAGAAAATCTCTCTCTCTCTCTCTCTCTCTCTCTCTCTCTCTCTCTCTCTCTCTCTCTCTCTCTCTCATATACAGTAAACTACGGTTATAACGAACACGCTTATAACGAACTGACGGATATAACGAACTTACTTTTTGGTCCCGACTATTTGCTGTTGTTATACTGTATATATGCTTATAACGAACTACGGTTATAACGAACTAAAATTAATAGTCCCTTTGAGTTCGTTATAACCGTACTTTACTGTATATAAATTTGCGTGTTGCGTAAAACATTTTTTGACATTTCAACGGAGAGTTCATGAAATGTATGCAGTGTAGCATGTTTGTGAAAAATCTTAAATTCAGCAGGATGAGGATGAGGGTACTATCACCTTTACACAACCACCTGGTATCATCACTATTTGATAGTGATTCGTATAGATGCTATATATTGACGGAATCGTACAATGAACTATTAGCAGAGATTGCTTGTAATTAGGGGAAAGGTTCTGTCTCTTTAATTTAAACATGTAAACTGGAAAACGTTCTTTTATGAAAGATATAACTGTAAATTTAATAATGTTCAGTTTCATTTAAAACATGAACTATACTCTTATGCATACTTCTCATATATCGTATATTGTAATATTACACACACACACACACACACACACACACACACACACACACACACACACACACACATATATATATATATATATATATATATATATATATATATATATATATATATATATATATATATATATATAAATATAATATTACTATGACTGATGTATTCAACACAACACATACATAAATACGTACATGTTTTACAGTGTCTCATAAACATGTTTCATTTTTTTCTTTGGCGTTACTTGCGGTGTCAAACAACAAACAAACATCGAGACGGATTATTCTTTGGCGTAGACGTTTTATGTTTTACACATAGTTGTGCAGCAGTTACACACACTCTTTTGACAAACACTGCGTCAGTGACGCCCTAGGGTTATGGTAACAACCATTGCTTGTGACAAAGTACGAATATGACAGGCCCATCCGATTAAAGGCAACACAAGTGTCAACGTGGTTACTCTATGCTCCTCGAGAAGGGACGATTGTGGTTAGAGTTTACCAAGTCAACCGTGAAAGTGATTAGCGTGTCTACCAGGTGCATTGCACTATAAGAACATATAATCATGTACTATGGACATTTACTATTAACGTGGTTTACTGGACGTTTGTCTCGTGGGTTAAGGAACGAGAAGATGCCACTTGTCAACTGAAACAATGGTCACACACGAAAAGGGAACATTTACTATTAATGAGGTTTAATTGGGCTAAGGAACGAGAAGATACCTTTGGTCAACTGAAAAAAAAAATTCCTCACAGTTACGCCACTCGGTCTGTAAAGGGAACAGGTCTGAAACAGCATGTATGGTTCATACAGAAATACCACACCGTTATCTTAATGCCACAAACAAGATTGTAGTAAGAAGAAATAGACAGAGAAATTACAAGGAAATACCTTATTAAATAAGAGCTCCCCATACTCACTCACGTACCCAATTATTATACATTATATATTTTTGAAATATGAAATAAAGTAAAACGCATATGATAAAAGGTGTCTCGCATTATTGTTTATTTCACCACTCACCTGCTGATGATGTAGGTTCAGCCAATAGGCATTTAAAACGTAACTACTATCCCCTATATATAGACTGTGTCAGTAACCAGTCGGATGCCACTACACCTAGCGTGCTTTCCACGGATGAGCCTAGAAAAGTAACTCTTCATTATGTAAGGGGTGCGTGGAGCAGAGAGGGACAGAGTCACACACATCACCTTAATCAAATTACGGTATCATAAGTACAAAGATGGGATAGGGGCACCAATGTGAAATGTCACATAACCTTTGCTGATCGGAAGTTACAGGAACGGACCGGACATGTTCAGAAAAAAAACATGCCTCAAACTCATGGAAAGTTACCAGTGTTTATGGTACAAGCAAGGGCGTTTTCAAAAGGGTAGGGTCCTTTCTTTGGCGTTCGCATGCACAGCGGTGTCTTTCGACAGCGGTTAAACTTTGACCTATTTTTGGGGAGAGTTTTACATTTCTTAAAACTTCCGCAAACAATGATGCCATTCTTCGGGGAAAACCATGATCAGTTTAGACCAATATAGATTTCCTGTCTCTGACAACGTTAACCGTACACGGAATCAGTCACTGATTGACAGTACAAACATGTTGTTGGTGTCTTAACTTTGCTCGACTTTTGTTACCTGCTGTCTGTGTGAGATATCACCATAAGGTAAGGAGCGGTCTTCTTGGGGACAGTTGGTATTTGACGACGGGTGGGCTGTGGGGAGTGAGGGGTTGGGTGTGTAACTGATTCGCTGGGCGTCCTGCAAAATCTGTATGCTTGTACACAGGAAACATGTGCGTGTGTACACTGATGTTAAATTGATAGTACATACGCTATAATGTTTTAAATATGAAATTATTTTGTGGTACCAAAGCAAATGACAACTTATAGACAACTTCGCGGAGTATGGTTGAACACAATCACATTATTTGTTCGAGGTATTTCTGATAACTTGAGGGGGCACGGATGGCCCAGTCGTCTAAGGCGCTGCGATTCGCTGTGCAGAGTTGCGTCCCTTGGGCACGCCAGAAACCTATGATTGTGGGTTCGAATCCCGGTTCGCCCCGATTATGTTTCTAGGTTTGTCAGCACCATACCCGTGCCCGTGGGTTTCACCGAAGTGGTAAACGTCTAAGACCTGCATCGCTTCGGGCTTTCCTCCCACATTAAGCTGACACGCCGCGATATAACTGGAATACTGTTAAAAGCGGCGTTAAACCCAACTCACTCACCCACTCACTGTTGACATAATTTCAGTGACATCGCGGAGTGTCATTATAAAGCATTAACATATTGAATATTAATATATATATACCTAAGATTACACTAGTAAAGGTTAGGGGCGTTACATCAAACATAAGAAACGTTGGAAGCGAAGGAATAACAGTACGGAGTTTTGATAGAAAGGAGCTGATATATACCAAGTCATCACTGGTGTGTTAAAAGCGGCTTTAAACCCAACTCACTCACTCACTCTGAAAACTTGGAAATCCCAGAACATTCGCCTGGCAACGCGGCTGGGACAAGTCACTCTCCAGATACAGATGGGAACACTTGAACATTCACAGCGAAAGCATATTTAGGCAATATTGACAAAGAATAGCTTATCAACGTGTTAACATCAACCAGTATTTGAATAACACAAGTTAAAATAACAGTACGTGAGTATGGTTTAACGCCGCTTTTAGCAATATTCCAGCAGCAATATCACGGCGGGGGACAGCTTCACACATTGTACCCCTTAGAAAAATCAAACCCGGGCCTTCGGCTTGACGGGCGCCCGTTGTAACCACTAAGCTACCCCACCGCCAGGTAACGTAATACATATTTTATTCCGAGACGTGGAACACATTTAGGTGTTCCACAACTGTAGCATACATTCTATTTTCTAAATTATCATTCCTTTCACTTTCAGATCGCGATAGGGGTACAAGTACACCTCTGTTGTTGTAGATTACTCTAAGTAGATTTCGTCCTTGGAAAAATGACCTCCACATCACCACCCGACCCACACGCAACAATTGTTGCATCGTGTGAATTGTTTTGTTAAAGTAAGAAGTTAGGGGTTATATAATTCTCCATATAGATTAACGATGTATTATACATAAACGTATGTTGCCTTTACCAGAGACAATGCAGTTGATGTTGTGTTGCTGTTCCCTGTGGCTGATCATCGTCCATGGATCAGGTAACACAAATATTATATTTACAATCATTTTAGACTTTCCTCATTTCCTATGTTATAACGGTATATACCCGGAGCATTTTGTTTGTTTCTTTGTTTCTTTGTTGTTTAAACGCCGCACTCAGCACTATTCCAGCTGTTTGACGGCGGTCTGAAAATAATCGAGTCTGGACCAGACAATCCAGTGATTGACATCATGAGCATCGATCTACGCAATTGGGATACGATAGCATGCATCAACCAAGTCAGCTACCCTGACCACCCGATCCCTTTAGTCACCTCTTACGACAAGCATGGGTTGCTAACCTGGAATCTGCACGGGACTAGATCATTCTGACAAAGAATAAGAGATCTTCGGTAACAATACTTATGGGTTATTTTAACAACACATATCTGATTGAAAACATAATTAATGTAGACGCTGACACGCAATGTCACACAGTACATTGTCAAATATATTGAAGCAAAGGACAAGTTCAAGAAATGTTGTAAAGAGAAGAAAATCGCTCATGAGAAGATAATAGCTTCGGATATTTCTGAGGCCGCTGTAGGTAAAGACTGTAAAACATTTTGGACAGCATTGAAACATGCTCTCGGCAAACATTCTTCGAACTCAAACATTTCTCCAGACAAATGGTTGTCGTATTTCAAAAATTTATTGAATCCGGAATTAAGTGTAACATGTGAATCCGGGACTATAGTTACAGACTTCATTGAAAATCACACTTGTGAAAACTGCGAACACTTCCCATTTACTGATCAGTTGCTGCCAAGTGTTATCACAGATACAGAGATCGCTGATGCTATCTCAGGCTTAAAATAAGGCAAAAGTCCAGGCGAAGATGGTATTCCCAACTCCTTCTATAAACTGTCACAGCCATATTTTACACCGTACTTGAACATTTTATTCAATAAGATATTTGATACAGGAATATTTCCTGATAATTGGAATATAGGCATGATTATCCCGTTATATAAATCTGGAAATACGAAGGACACATCAAATTACAGAGGAATATCCCTTTTGAATACAACTGGCAAACTAGTTACTACAATACTAGAGAATAGGCTAAGATTATGGATGGAAATAAACAACTTGATATCTGAAGCGCAAGCCGGGTTCAGACAAGAATATTCAACTACGGACAACATTTTTACTTTGCAATCTCTTGTTACTGAATATTTCTCTAAACCAAAAGGAAGATTTTATGCTGCCTTCATAGACTTTAAAAAGGCCTTTGACTATGTCGACAGAAAAAAACTACTATATGCCCTACTCCAGAAAGGCTGTCATGGTAAAATGTATGTTATTCTTAAAAGTATGTTTAGCTCTGTGAAAGCATGTGTTAAAGAAGATTCTGGTAAAACAGGTTTTTTCGAAACAACGGTGGGTGTTAGATAGGGCTGTATGTTGAGCCCGATATTATTTATTTTCTTTATAAATGATCTTGTCACTGAAATGTCAAAATAGTATATTTGTTTCTCAAGATATTGAGGATTTGATGCTGTTGCTTTTTGCGGATGATGTTGTACTCTTTGCTTATAATGTTGTAAGTCTTCACTATTATTATTATTATTATTATTATTATTATTATTATTATTAATTTTAAAAACAGTTTCATATTATAAATATTCTGGGGGTAATATTTTCTTCTAGACTGATTTGGACGAAATCATGTGAGAACCTGGCAGCTGAGGCTGTTAAGGCATGCATCCCTGTTTATAAATTATTCCCAAAGAAAATCATTCTTATCATTCTCAACAGCTTGTAGAATATTTGATTATAAAATAAGTCCTATACTTTTATATGGTGCAGAAATTTGGGGGCTAAGGTATTTTGCATGTATAGAGAAAGTTCAAACTTCATATTTTAAATATTTTCTTGGTGTAGGTAAATATGCCTCAAACACAGCTATCTTAGGGGAAACTGGCCGCCACTATATGTTTGTCCAGAGTCAGATCAGAGCTATAAAATATTGGCTAAAATTATTGCACATGGGATCAAATAGATATCCTGTACAATGTTATTACTTCCTTAAAAAGCTAGATGAGAAAGGTCAGCACAGTTGGGTGACAGATCTTAAAATTGTTTATATGTTAATGGTTTGTCATGTCTGTGACTACCTAAATGTTGGTGATGTAAATATTTTTTTGTATGAATTTCAGTAAAGACTAAAAGATGTTGCCTCTCAAAATTGGTTTGCAAAATTGTCTGCTTCCAAATATTTATCTCATTATTCAAATGTTAAATCTTTGCTGAATGTAGAAAAATATATTGCTTCTTTGCAGGATAAATCTCTCAGAAGAACCTTTTGTAAATTTAGGATTAGCTTACAAAATTTTAATGTTCAGTTTCTACGTAAAACCCCCTCAGATAATGAAAAAAGTGTATGTAGATATTGTAACAAGGGTTGAATTGAAAATGAAGATCATGTCTTTTTCACTTGTGATTATTACCAGACTTTACGAAAACATTATATTACTCAACTACAGGATACGTATGACGGTTACCTGTCACTTCCAAATATTCTTAACTGCAAACATGTCGATGTAATAAAACTGACTTCTGTATACCTGTATAAGATATTTAAATTTAGAAAAACGTGACTAAATTTATATTGTACTGACACTGTAATATAGGCCATGTGGCCCACATAACCGAGTAAATCTGCTGTCTGTCTGTCTGTCTGTCAAATATAGAATCCTCAACCTCAATATTATAAGCTCCATAAGGAGTATTGAACACCGTAAACACGCAAAATATGAAACATACCTTGTCATAAAAAATGTTGATCGCAATACAAATATATGCTGAATACTATTATTGTGCATTTGGTACAGTGTTAGCCAAGGTGGTGTGTTTTCACTTCGTTCCTTTAAACACTGCTTACTTTGCGCTGAGAGTATATACATTGCATTCTGTGGCGTATATGCAAATAAAAGAGACATCAAAACCCTTTCCACATTCATAAGAAAAATTCAACACTGGGTATAATGGGATAAGAATTGAAAAGGAAATTCAATGTCAATTGTGACGAACCGTTTGATCAGTTAAGGTGAAAATATAATTGTTGTTATGCACATACACAATGAGCTTCTCTTGATCCGGAAGTATGGCATGCAATACACTGCTTGTATCAGCAAGTCGATAACACTAACTATGCATTGGTTAAAGTTGATTTAAATCTGCAAACTGGAATTTCATGTCTTTATGTATGTGTTTCTATTAACGCATAATAGCTCGTGGAATCATACGAACAGGTAGTTGCACGTGGTCGCGTGTGCTGCACACAAGGCATAGATCAGGCGAAGTTATTAATACAGCATTATTCAATTTCTTTATTCAACGTACTGAGGAGGCCACAGGCCTATAGTACAGTCATGATTACAGGAGCAATTGGCACAATCATATAATTTCCAAACTTGATTTTCTTTGTATAAAAGCATGATATATGTACATAGAAAGATTTCTTATGTTTCAATGTTGCTAGTTGCCATTAATAGTTTAAACTTAAATGTACAATGGTTCACATGAAAATAAAAGTTATTAGTAAAGCGACGGACACCTTTCCATCATCATAAAAACTATCCGCTGAAAGCCGTCCACTGTACGATCCCGACTGTGTCATATGAGCATGTGTTTACCTAGATACCTATCAAATAGTGATGATAGCAGGTGCTCGCGAAACAAATTCCAAATTTGACCCCTCAGTGAGCAACAATTATGTCAGATGCAACTCCCTATTTTGACTTGTACAATATCTTCCAATGTTTTTTTCAGGTGAACAACTCTCTTTCCCTTGCATGTGTTTGTGACCGGTGCGACCGGGGGGATTCATAGCCACATGCTAATGACGAGTTGGAATCGTACAATCGACTCGATACTTCTTATGAACATTGACAGTAGCGGGTGACCTCGCCTAGGTGAACACTACCAAGCTGACTGTCGTTAATTTCCCGATGAACGTCAGTATGTCACGTGATTACGTTGTCAATCTAGTGCGGAGACATACAGAACTACTTGAGGGGGGATTCCTCAATGTCTAAAAATAACATTAAAAATCATTAGGGAAAACTGACGACATCGATTCAGGCTATGAATGATGCGGGCTTTGAGGCCAGACAGATCATGTCGGGTCACTGAAATGAAGCGTCCATTCGAAGCTAAAACTGAGAATCCTCGATTTGCCAAAAGAAATCACTGAGCTCCACACTGTCGTGTATTGCTTCGGGAAATCCAACCGCGCCGCCTCAAGCGGTAATCCCTGTCATCATCAGCCGTAGTATGACTCAAACACACACCCAAAGTTCGCAGAACGTTAATATCAATCCATTTTTAGCATCAGCCTGGTCGGGATTTCTTTCCAACGCTAACTTTACTGGGTGCAACGTTTATTTCAAGCGAATAACATTGCCGTAGCCGCCATTTTCTGCCGTTTGTAAAACCAAGGGATGTCACTCCAAATGGAATGTTTGGGACGGATGACGTCACGACGTCACGACTCTCCGCGTTGATATAGTTCGCTTTAAATAATTGAAGTTTGGTGTTTAATGGATTGTTTTGTTATGATTTATGTATCTGTCAATATAAGGATTGAAGTTGTATGTGTATCATGGAATTTGCTCATGTAAGGCACTGTCTTCATCAGCTGATGAACGTCAACAAATACAACTTCAATCCTTAAATATGGAAAGGGTTTTGTTGCTGTTATCTATGAGGAAGCGCAGCATTTCTTTATAACCGTAGTTGGTTATAAGCATATATACAGCATAACTACAGCAAATAGTCTGGACCAAAAAAGTAAGTTTGTTATATCCGTCAGTTCGTTATAAGCGTGTTCGTTATAACCGTAGTTTACTGTATTTGTCATCAATAGCAAGTGTGTATTGAGTACAAATCCTTTTTTCTTGTACAATATTTGACATATTTCCTGTTTCAGTTGGTAACCGGACGTGTTCTGACCACTGTAGAGAATACCGTAAAGAACATAAATGTGACCCATCTAAAGGAGAGTGTATACATGGCTGCAATCGAGGACGGTGGGGACTTTCTTGTTCTAAGTCATGCAGCAATAACTGCCGTAATGAAACATGTAATCAGCAAACAGGAAGTTGCATGGGTTGCAAAAATGGCAAAACAGGTCGAACTTGCTCTATTGATTGTCCTCGTGGATGTCAAGACAATATCTGTGCCATAAAGGATCAGAAATGTGAGAACGGTTGCAAAACAGGCTACTGTGGGGAGAGATGTGCCACTCCCTGTTTCCATGTATCTGTTGGACTTATCACTGGTGCTGCGTTGGGATGTGTGCTAGTTCTGGTTGTAGTCCTTGTTCTCATCTGGGTGGTGCTGAGGTAGGTAGTAGGCGTTTGTCTATTATTACTCTGCTTCATGTTTTAAAGGCTGACTGACTGACTGACTGAGTATGGTTTTACGCCGCTTTTAGAAATATTCCAGCAATATCACGGCGGGGGACACCAGAAATGGGCTTCACACATTGTACCCATGTCAGGAATCGAACCCGGGTCTTCGGCGTGACGAGCGAACGCTTTAACCACTAGGCTACCCGACCGCCCCTGTTTAAAAGGGATAGACTCTAAAAAATACCCAGTTTTCCATACTTGTAGTAAAAGGCCACTAGAGAGGTTCGGGTGGTCAGGGTTAGTGGCTGAATGAGTGTGGTCGTGCCAGTGGCGTAGATCATTGCCGATGCTTTCAGTCATTAGTCTGTCTGGTTCACATTCGATTATACACCAGTCACCATGGTATTGATGGAATATTCCTCATTGTTTCGTTTAACAACATTCATTCAATTTTAGACTGTTGTTTCGAGTTCATCCATCTCCTCATTACACATAGTGTATGTAGTTAGCATATAACAAGCAATAGCATTACAATGGTGACACGGTTAACGATCTTACACTGTGCAGGAATTACTTAAATAAACGATGTGTCCGTGCATATTTTTTTCAGACGGTCTTGGAGACAACATGATCCTCCTCAGTACAGCGTTGTGATGACAAGCCCATGTACCTACCAGAATGGCAGGATCTGAGGAGTTGTATGATATTAATAAGAAGATGAAAATTACACGTGCTTCAGGCGTTGAGGGTGTATTCATCCACGAACTATTTCGAGACCTATGAACCTTGGGGGGCATATTCGTGGTGAGGTGAGGTGAGGTGAGGTGAGGTGAGGTGAGGTGAAATGGGGTTTAACGTCGCGTCCAAGATTATTGCACTTATATAGCGACGTGCATGCACGTGTGTGTGTGTAGCTGCTTGTACTAGACCGGACTGATGCCGATTTATAGTGCTAGCTCACTGTGATACCATGCAACAGTTTAACATGAATACCCCATTCAGACACAGTTTACTGCCTCCGAGTCGACCAGTGCTTGTTTTATCCCCTTAATGCCGAGCGCCAGACAGGGTAACAACAAGTACCATCTTTAAACGTATTTTGACCTTCCGCTCTCCGGGCGGACACTCTACCTCTAGACCACGGAGGCGGTCTGGGGGCATATTGGAGATGGCTCTGTCCTACCTGCTGGTTGGTTAGGGTGTGATAATCTTATGGTCAGTCTTTTGGATATTTATTTTTAAAACTTTGAGAACGTTAGTTGAGAACTGTTGTATATTCCGGTGGAAATAAGTGAGTGAAAAGTTGTTTCAGGCCACGGACAACAATGGATGAAAAAAATAAGCGACAAAATCATTTCCATACTTATAAGAAATATGAAAAATATGAAAGGCTTTTGCCTTAAACCCTGATCAAACACCTTAAGAGCAAATGTCGTGTGACGCCTTTTGAAATCTTCATAGAAAGAGCATGCTAAAGAAATGACCCAATTTTAGCAGGTTACAAGCATGACGTATCCTAAAAATGACATCGATCAACTTATATTAAATCTATCGAAATCAGACATTATATCATGATATTAAATGTAATCGTTTATGACTGGTCAATCAAGGATTTCAAATCCCAATTAAATTCCTTGTAGATGTCTGATAAAACAGACGAATGGTCCCCTGCACCTCAGCTGTGGCAAATATTTAGTGCAGCAACTTCTTTGTAAATCATAGTTAGTAGGCATGTTATGAGAAAATATAGGTAAATATAGGTACAAAAACCGAGTTATGAATACTTGTATATTAGCATGTGCGACCGTACAAAAGTGTATCAAAATGTCAGGGACACCAGAGAGCTTGAAATTGACATGTTTCTTGCTGAGATGCCCGTGAGGTGCATTTGGGTAGCCCAGTGGTCAAAGCGTGAACTCGCCTGTCATGCCGAAGACCCGGGTTCGATTCCGTACATGGGTACATGTGTAAAGCTCATATCTGGTGTGATATTGCTGGAAGTGGCGTAAAACCATAGTCACTCACTCACCCAACAATTTCTTCAGGGTTCATTTCTTGTTTGCGTTAAGGTAGTCGAACTACACATTTTAGTTACCTTTATGCATGCGAGTATAATGTTTTGATGAAAACTGAAAGACACCTTCCAATCTGCTGGTAATGCGTATAAGTATCTGGTCATGACACCAATACAAATAAAATGTTGTTTATGTCAACGACTGTTAGCTTTAAAATCAGAGAGAGAGAGAGGGAGAGAGACTGACACACAGAGAGAGGGAGAGAGAGAGAGTCTTATGAGCTTAGTTATTGTCTTTAGATGAACATATCAAAGTGTTCCACCATGAGAACACCAAGTTCTATATATTACAGTGTGAGTTGGGTAGCCTAGTGCTTAAAGCGTTCGCTCGTCACGCCTTAAGCCTGAGATCGATTCTCCACATGGGTACAATGTGTGAAGCCCATTTCTGGTGTCCCCCGATGTGATATAGCTGGAATATTGATAAATGTGGCACAAAACCCAACTCACTCACATGCTCCATATAGTACGCCAGTGTCTGATAAGTCCTTTTAAAATAGTTGTATTCTCGTCTCAGAAATTTCTTACATTTTCATTTATATCAAAGTACTGTATATATAAATAAAAACAAACATTTTCTTATTCTGTATAGATTAATGTAGTTTTATGTAGCGAATGAATATGCTGTAAAGTATTTCACACTGTATAGTTCGGATTTAGATCCTTTGCCACAGTGTTGCTGTCACACGTTTTGATTGCAACGAACAGTTAAGGTGTACAAACATTCTGTGCTTGTGGAATAACGTTTCTAGTTGCTCATCCTTTGACATTTGCATCATTAGATAGCTATTTGTTACACTGTATGCACTGGTCATTCAAATAAAGCTAATTACTATATTAGTTTTTATTGTTTCATTCGTCAGTTTGTTTAGGGCGTATTTATAGTGTGAATTTGCAGAGCGAAATAACATGGTTCAAGAGGGGATATCAGAAAGTTTTGAGGTGAGATGGGATGAAATGGGATTTAACGTCGCGTCCAAGATTATAGCACTTATATAGTGACGTGTGTGTGTGTGTGTGTGTGTGTGTGTGGCTGCTTGTTCTAGTCAGGACTGATGCCGATTTATAGTGCTAGCAGATACCATGCAGCAGTTTTACATGAACACCCCACTCAGACACAGTTTACTGCCTCCGAAACGACCAGTCCTTGTTTTATCCCCTTAATGACGAGCGCCAGACAGGGTGACAACAAGTACCATCTTTTAATGGTATGACGCGGCCGGGGATCGAACCCCGGACCTTCCGCTTTCCGGGCGGACGCTCTACCACTAGACCACAAATGCGGTCAAGAAAGTTTTGAGCATGGGACTTTTAGGTTGTCGTTATGCTTACGTTTGACATATGTCAGTATTGACCTGTGTTTGGTTAGTCATTTCTCACAATTTGGGGTGCGCCAATCTAGTCACTTGCTGAAAATTGCCTTCAACCTTTAGGTACCCTACTCCAGGAGTATGGCACAGTTATCAACTTTTGATCCTAGAGTGAGTGAGTGAGTATGGTTTTACGCCGCTTTTAGAAATATTCCAGCAATATCACGGCGGGGGACACCAGAAATGGGCTTCACACATTGTACCCATGTCGGGAATCGAACCCGGGTCTTCGGCGTGACGAGCGAACGCTTTAACCACTAGGCTATCCGACCGCCCCTTTGATTCTAGAAGGTCTATAACAAAATAATATTGATGAACGGTTGCCTGAATGCTGAGTGAAGGAATTTCAGGGTGGAAGAATAATAGTTTGGAAAAACACACCAGCTCTGGTTGACCCCTAACCAGCAGAAAGAAGACATTGATGCCGTCCACAACCTGGTACTGAACAGTAGGCGCATTTCACTCCATGCGTTCTTGCAGTTTGCACATCGGGTTTTTTTTATTCATACCTCAATGAACCCGAAAAAAATACACAGTCAATCCTTATAATTAAATTCGACATGGAAATGTTATATACAATAGTTTCACCAATAACAGTTGCACATATCAAAGCAGACAAAAATGACGAGATTGATTAACATTCCAGGTGTAGGAATACATATTGTGGCGTGACATGAATCAAGTGATTGTTTAATTCATTCACAAAAGTTTACACGCCCAGAAAGTCAGTAGCCAATCAACGGAGAGTAGGATTAAAACAAAGACCATAGGACCTGTCAATCAAGGCGAGAGGCGAGAAGAACTGCAACAGTCAGACTGTAACAAACCGGAACAAATATGTCCGGGAGAAGGCGGCTGTTTCAAATGGCATGGTCAGTTACAGTCAGATTCAAACATTAGTCCCCTGAGACCAGAGAGACGTAGTTGGAAAACAGCGGGTTAGAAATGAAAACCTGAAGACATGGAATTTGTGGAATCCAAGCAAGCGGCAAAAAAACCCAGACGAGCGAGCCTGCACGTTTGCTGTTTCATTCCTCGGCTTTCTGTCTCAAAGGGTAATTTGGACAATGGATATGCATGAATTTCGCTAAATGACCTGTGCATGACGATACACGTGAGCAGAAGTAGTATTCCCTCGAATGTAACATTGGGATTCACCGACATTCCGTTGTAACAAAAGTAGTACACCTCGGTGGGCGTGGCTTAATGATTTACATTCATTGGGAAATGAACGCAATAACACGTGAGCAATTCAGGTAATCAGAATGCAGGAATTACAATGAACACAACGCAAATTTAATTATTCCTTCATGAACATCTTCATATGTCAGAGGTTTGTGCCCGATGGGTCTCAAGAATGCTATCACCCACATCACCACCACCACCACATAATCGCCACTTTCATTTTAGGCAACTGACACATCACTAATGAAACACTTCGGGTCTCCCAAAATCAAAGAAGTTTAAAGCAACCAGATCCACCGAGGAATGCCAGGAACAACTTTATTCGGGACACCAAAGACATAATACACATCGATTATTCACCACGGTGATGAATGGTGAATATCATACTAAATCATTGAAAAGATAGCGCGAGTCCATCAAAGAGAAGAGTCTCGGCAAACGTCGATGTGGTAGTTTCCTCGTCCAAGACATGCTCCAGTTCACCAAAGTTATGTCGCAAAGGCTGATGTACGAGAATGTGTGGATACATCCCTCTTCCCCATCCACCTTATTCGCCAGATCTGGTTCTTAGTGGTTACCATCTGTTTTCAATTTTTTTTAAAAAGCGTCCATGGTCAGAGGTTTAAGAAGGACCAAAAAACTGGTTGATAGACCAGCATTTGACAAAACAGACATAACTGGCCTGGACCAAAGATGGACCAAGTGTATACTGTTTGTTTGTGGTTTAACGCCGCACGTTAAACAACGCATGACCAGACAATCCAGTGATTGACAACATGAGCATAGATCCACGCAATTGGGATCGATGACATGCATCCCTTTAGTCGCCACTTACGACAAGCGTAGTCACCTGTTATGGGAAAAATGGGTTGCTGAAATCCTGTTCTATCAAGTGTATACTGAACTGCAAGGGGACGGTGTTGTTAAAAAATTAATGCTCACGGCAATATTTCAGTTATATGTATGTTGCGCCCCAAACGTTCTGAAACACCACCGTAGTCCATGAAAGTGTACAAACTGTGTTTTTCCTGTGCTGGGTGAGTGAGTGAGTGAGTTGCCGCTTTTAACAGTATTCCGGTTATATCACGGCGTGTCAGCTTAATGTTGGAGGAAAGCCCGAAGTGATGCAGGTCTGAGACGTTTATCACTTTGGTGAAACCCGAGAGGACGGGTATGGTGCTGACAAACCTAGAAACATAATCGGGGCGAGCCTGGATTCGAACCTACAATCATAGGTTTCT